AGTGGTGGTGAGGTGACAGCATTACCGCCAGCTTGCATCATGTGCCTTAGCCTGTTCAGTTCCTCAGGTGTAAAACCCATTGTAGTTTTAGAAGAACTTACAGGGCTATTTCCAGTAGTGTCATTAGAACTGCCAAAGCTTGACTCTGTTGATGTGTCACTGGAGTTGTTTTGTGAAACTGAACCAGCAAAACCAGTAACATTACCCTGTCCACTTCTGGGTGTTCCTCCATCTTCCATCTCTCTTTTCTTCTTGATCTTCCAGCACTCATCCACAGTGTGCCCATACCTCTTACAGTAGACACATTGTTTCTTCCCTTGTGTTTTTGGCTTCCCTTCTTGTCCAGCTTCAACTGCTAATGCAACAGTTTGACTCTTTCTTCCACTTGTTGTAGACTCTGCTTTCAGTTTCTGCTCATACAGAAGAAGATCATCTACTGCTTCTGAAACAGTAGGAAGGGGTTTTTGTGACAACAGCTGACTTTTAATGATCTCATAATCTGGATTAAGACCCCTGAAGAACCTTATCAAGTAGTCTGTTTCCTGCCTCTCTGTGTAAGCAACAACAGCATCACAAGGATTGGGATTCCCTGGGGCACAGTTACAATGAACTATTGGACTGAATTGAACATATTCTTCCCACAACCCCTTAATCAAAGTGTGATACTGGTTGATTGTGAGGTTTCCTTGTTTCTGCTTATGGATGTCATCCTCCAGGTTAATAAGTCTGATAGCATTAGGTTTACCATATCTTCTCTTCAACTCATCCCATAAAACCTTAGCGTTGATATGATTCATCACAGATCTCTTTAGATCTTTGTGAAGTGAGTTCAAAATCCAGGATAAGACAGCTGTGTTACAAGCATCCCACAGCAAATACCTCTCATCGGTCACTAGAGGAATTGGGATACTCCCATCTATGAATCCAAGCTTATGTTTCATCTTAAGACCCATTACCACAGATCGACTCCACATAGTATAGTAGGTTCCATCAAACACCTCTGTACCAATAGACTGATTGAGAGCTTCATTGGGGTTGAGATAGTAGGGATTGCCGAAAGTGATTACCTCAGATCTGGGTCCAGATGCAAATTGTTGCTGGTTTCCTTGCTGGTCTGTGTAAGTCCCAAACTGAACTCCTTGAACACCAGATCCAATTATCCCAGCTGACCCATTTCCTGATGACTGGAGACGGTTTTGGTTTCCCGTCGGCGGAGTATTCATCGCAACCCTAGTAGCGTAACCGCTCTGATACCATATGAGAATTTTAGGAAGGGATTTGGTGAATAGCAGAACCCTCAAAGGGTTTCTCAGCTCTGCCTTCGTATATATATCAGTCAGCTAATTCAAATTAGCCCGCTAGTCCACGTGTCTCTGCCTTATAGGCTATTACAAAGAAATAAACACTGTTTAACAACGGCTAACCGCTGTAGCATAAAACGACATAGTTTCACTCTCCAACTTAAACAAATGAAAAGGAAACGTTTCTAACAAAGGAAACGTCTTCATCTTCTAGCTGCAATCCTTTCTTCATTAGGACTTCTTCTTCTTCCTGCAACTCTTACTGATCAGCTTTCTTTCTTCACAGGTTGAAAAGCCCAACAACCACTTTCCTCCATCATCTCTAGCCATCCCGTACTATCTATATTAGCCATTCTCGTATCTCCATTGAGAAAAAAGAACTGTGTGATGAAGTGATTAGGTTGTGCCAGCGTGATCTTGCATAAGAACAGTCCCGAATAATGTGGCAGTTTCAACTTCAAGGCTGCACCGTAGACGTGAACGGTTGACTGGTATATGTCGGTGATGGAGGAACGTGATCGATTGAATGATTTCATGAAGTAGCCACACGAAAGAAGATGGCGAGGACCATGAAGCTTCCAAACCCACTTCTATTCAATCACGAGGGAGGCAAATTGATAATTCTTGAGGGAAAGAGGTACCAACGGCTGTTTTGAAAGAGAATTACCATTACTGGAATGCTTCCATATAATTTGGTTGGCAAGTCACGAACAATGACTTGTCTAGACTCTAGTGATAATACTAGTAGTTTTGAATTTGAAAATTTCAGATTCAAATACTTTAAATAATACCTAAATCACTAAAAATAAACCCATATCGTTCATATAATAAAATTGGTTGGCAAGTAAGCAAGAAGGACAACGGTAGAAACTAGAAAGTTGTCAACGATTAAATGGCCTCTAAAGTGGCTCAAATTAGAGTGCATAACCTTAGAGTGTATAATCTTAGCGTGCTTAACATGAGTAAATAAATATGGATCATTTATTTAAAGTGGGTTGCAGATCTAAAGGTTGAGAATTAAAGATTTTTGTATTTTTTTAGTTTTCTTAATCGGATCTTATTTTCTTCATTCTAAATCGTGTTTCAATTTTTTTTTTTTTGCACAGATTGAACGAGTTCGTTGTGCTCTATAAAATGAGATCCATTTTTCAATATTTTTTGACAATTGTTTTTTCCATACCTCTCGTTACCAACTTCTTACCATATGGTATCTCCTTCGTTTTTAAGTCATTTTCGGAAATTTTTGCACAGAATAAACGAATTAATCATGATATCTTAGATACAAAAATTTTTTAGTGAAAAAATATTGGACAAAAAAATATCATAATATACCACCCTGGTATGGGGTGGTATCTTTCGTACCAGATGATATGCTCTTTTTAATACCAATCAATACCACCGTGCATAGACTGGTAAAAAATGATACAATTTTTTTTGTTCCAAAAATATATCAAAGTGGATACTATTTTGAAGAGCATAATTAATCTGATCTATATGTGCAAAAAAATTAAATTCCGACTTCAAATGTGAGAGAAATCGTTAAAGAATAAAGAAAAAAAATTAAAAAAAAATTCAGGAGAGAGAATGGGTACTAACGTGACGGATTATGATTGGATTATGCATGTTTATTAACCGTAGAGTTATGCATCGGATCCGTTCTCCTCTTACTGAACTACCCTCATGTGCCCAGGCCCACGCACCCAAAAGTCCAATGACAACCTGTAATTCGTAAACATTAGTACAATCTCCATTTTTTTTCTATAATGAAAGGGAAAATGGGTTGCATTCAATCTTGCTAATACATGGAGGAAACCAAAATTGTGTTTTATGTTTTAAAAAATCTTATCCATCAAACTAATTAGTATGAGACTTTTTCAAAAAGAATCCAAAAGTAAACTCATGTGGGCTCGATCTAAAGTGGACAATATCATATTGATGAAGCTACCCAATTTCAAGAAGTAGTATCAGAGCCTAATTTGAAATTCGGATTCGGAGTAGTGGATGTCACTTTGGTAGACACTCATTTGATGATCTCGAGATTTGAGATCCACATATGTTTGACAAATCAAGGAGATAAAAGGAAAGTAAATCCTTGTATATTAGTATCCACCAAGGTCATTAGTATGAGACCTTTTGAAAAAGAATTTTTGAATAAATTTGTGCGAAGTCAACCCAAAACGAACAATACTCGTACTAATAGAACTAGCGGGTTTCAACAAAATGGAACTGAAAGAAAGCAGCAATAACTTACATATCCCCATCTCGACCAGCTATATCCCATTGAATACATCGCCCCGTCATGTATTAATGTCCATTTAAATTACCCTGAAGAGATGATGGTTAAGGCCAGCCATCCCTTGTGTTGCGTCCGCCATGATGAACACAAAGACATGAAGTACTACCCTGTCAATCACCATTTATTCTCAAAGTTATGTGATTTCGCCTAAAACCTTGCTGTAAGAGTTTTGATGATGACGAAGTTGAGAGACAGGGGTCTGGTATTTTGTTGACAACGATTGGCATTATTAGCATCATCATTATCATCGTTATTATCCATGTCAATCACATTTTACTCGTGAAATGGTTGGTTGATGATGGAATCTTCAAGGATGAAAGGAGACGTAATAAAAGTGCGTATTTGATGAAAAAGGTTTTGATACCCAATGGCCGATGTGAAGTTCTGCAGTTAAGACTAAAGAAAGGGAGCCTTCCATGCTAATAACCAAACAGATGACGGAAAGGGATAGAAATTAGAATGCTGGAGAAGCAAGAGATTAAGGAATAGCAGATGGCGTCGGGGGATGTAGGATTAGATGCAAGCAACCAATCTCTTACCAAAGAACTGAAATCTACCTTACATAAGAATACCAGAAGCTACCAAATTCCATTCAATGAGGGGGGAAGAGTACGGAACATCATCTTTAGCAAGAAGCCTTCTTGTTCATCATTTGGAGAGAACACCCAAGAGTAAAACTGTGCGGGTTTGGTACAAAACGGACAATATCGTACTAATTGAACTCCCCGATTATATCTTCATCTGACTTAAGTGTTAATGCTAAGAATCGTGAATATTATTAGATGTAGATATGGGATTAAATACCCATTCTCAAACATAAAATAGCTGCTTTTTGATTCCAAGAGATTAAATTGTCAGTATTTATGCTAAGAATCGTGAATATTATTAGATGTAGATATGGGATTAAATACCCATTCTCAAACATAAAATAGCTGCTTCTTTGAATTTCAAGAGATTAAATTGTCAGTGTTAATGCTAAGAATCGTGAATATTATTAGATGTAGATATGGGATTAAAGCCCAGTGGCGTAGCCAGGATTTCACTTAAGGTGGGTCCGACATAAAAATAAAATCATATAAAATGAATGAAATGACCTATAACGCGTTTCATAGTATGTCGACACATTTTCGTTGGAAGGTGGATAATTCGATACTAAATTAGAAATTAGTAAATTTATAATACATAATTAGGGACACAGTTTTATATAAAGTCAAGAGTTATTTATATAATATGCAAGGTTCATGTGTACCACAAAGTTTTGTACAATTTATTTGTAGATAAGTAAAACCAGTAAACATGAGGTAATAGGTTCCAGAGTTATTAATTGTGTACAAATATTGTTATCTGTGTAATAATTCAGCAAGGATTGTAAATCCGTAGCAGTGGTTGTACTAAAAAAATTCAATAATATGATATTTATATTGAAACCATGGTTTAATCGTGATTCAACTGTTTCATAATACTAAAAAAACCGTCTAAGATTTAAAATCCAATAGAAGGTTTTCTCGATCGAACCACCTATACAATACGATTTTACAAACACTACAATCTTGAGCCAAGGTGGGTCGCAGGACCCACCTTGTTATAAGCTGGCTCCGCCACTGGAGGTGCCCTTCAGATAGCGGAATAGACGTTTGACGTGCTACCAGTGGAGAGTCGTTGGAGCATGCATGAACTGGGATAATTTGTTGACGGCAAACGATGTCACGACGTGTCTAGAGGAGATATTGAAGAGAACCAAAGCTTGGTTATCATATCCAACTTCAGCTTCCGCTTCACTAAACGTAGTTGACCTAATTGCATCAAGCAGCGCCCTACAGTCAACTCACCTCACATCGAGTCCTTCCTCTACTCCATGACTTGAACCTCCTACCTCGCCCCCTCGGGGTCCCGCCTCTAAGCATATTTTACCCTTCTACCTCGGGTAGATTATCGAATCTGTGGAAGGGGGTCCTACGAGTACTACATAATATCCCGGAAGCGATCATGTGCACGGTCGGAAATGGGAAGCAAGTGCGATTTTGGAGAGATCGGTGGCTTTTCGACGGGCCTCTACTAGCTGACCTTGCCATAGGACTATAAGAGTAAGCACTAGACTTCATGGTGGACGATATGGTTTTTTCAATGGAGCGTGGAATATGCCTTTTTTACATGCTGTTCTCCCACCCGAAGTCGCTGCCCAGATTGAACTCCATCTGGTCCACAGACAGGCTCCGAGAGTCGGGAAACGGTTGATTGATGCTCCCCTGGGAAGAGTCCACGGAATTTCCGCCACGGCTGCTGCTTCCAAAGATGGAAGTCCACCCATGGCTATTAGTATTGTCCATCCACCATGCGTAATCGGAAAATAGAATTCCTCTCCAGGAGAAAGAAAGCACAAATGCCAGACCGCCGGAGCAGCCTGTCTTTAATAAGAAAGACGACAGGGCCTTCCCCCGAGGAGAGTTGTCGGAAAGACAAATCCGGGTCGTGGAGGAGAGTAGAGTCGGCGCTAGTTGGGAATCATGCATGTCGAAGCGATGGAGTAAGTCAAGCACATACTTGTGTTGAGACTGTAGAAAACCAGAAGTCGTGGAGAGCACCTCAATCCCCAAGAAGTAGTTGACAGAGCCGAGCCTCTTGAGAGAGAACCGAGCAGCAAGACGAGCTTGAAACTGAACCAGAGCGGAGCTGTCATTACCCGTCAACAGGAGATCACCAACGTAGACAAGGAAGTAGAGTGTGACGCCCCCATGATGATAGATTAACAAGGAAGCATCATATTTGGATTTGACAAATCTCTCTTGTTCAAGAAAACCGGACAAGGCCAAATACCAGGAACGAGGAGCCTGACGAAGAACATAAATCGCCTGAGATAGGCGGCATACATGAATAGGATGATCGAGATCACGAAAGCCAGGAGGCTGAGACATATATACTGTTTCCTGTGAAGAACCCTGTATGAAAGCATTGTTAACATCAAATTGAAAAATCGGCCACTAGTGAAAGAGAGCAATGGTGAAGACGGTGCAGATGGTGACTAGTGTCAACACCGGACTATATGGCTCATGGAAGTCAACACCCGACCATTGAGTGAAGCCTTTGGCAACAATCCGGGCTTTGAAGCGATCAACAGAGCCATCCGGGTTACGTTTGATACGAAAAAGCCAACGAGAGCAGACAATGTTTAGACTAATGGGATGCGGAACCAATGTCCACGTGTTGTTGGAGAGTAAGGCCTAAAACTCGGTCGTCATCGCGGCACGCCACCGCGGATCAGCGAGAGCATGCTTCAACATGGTGGGATCAATATCAATAGACTCAACCTGTGAAATAAAGAGTTTCTTGGGGGGAAAATTACCATGCTGATTGCGGGTGACAGGGCGGTGAGAGGACTTGACCGGTGGCGGTGGAGGCTGAATTTGTTGTGAGGAAGTAGTCACCGGTGATGCAGCATGATGAGGAGAAGGGAGTTGTCTATGAGTGGCAGGTGTAGTAGGAGCAGTCGCATGCGGAACAGGAGATCGCTGGAAGGTGGATGGGGAAGGAATTGAGAAAACGGTAATATGTGGCGTAGTGGATGCAATCCATTGAGGAGGGTCATAAGTGGGGCTGGCACGGGAAGTAATACCAGGGAAGATGGACTCCTCAAAATGGACATGACGTGATGTGAAGAGTCTCCAATGAAGAGGATCATAGCAGTAGTAAGCGCTTTGAGTGAGTGAGTACCCAAGAAAAATGCATTAAAGGGAACGAGGGGACAATTTGTGAGGTGAATATGGACGTAGCCATGGATAGCAGGCACAACCAAAGACTTGGAGCTTGTGTAAGTTGGGCGACTCGTTGAAGAGAGAAAAATATGGGTTAGCATCATGGAGATTGGAAGATGGGAGACGATTGATAAGATAGACAGCTGTTTGAAACGCATGAGACCAGAAATATAGAGGAAGATGAGCAGTATGGAGTAGAGTGCGGCCTGTTTTGACTATATGGCGATGTTTTCTCTCGGCATGGCCATTGTGCTGGGGAGTATGTGGTGGGGTTAAGAGATGAGTGATACCATGAGTTTGCAAGAAGGAACATAATTTCTGGAATTCACCATCACCATCACTATAAATACGATGAATAGTGGTGTGGGAATTTTTTTCCAATCATTGACTTGTATGTGGTAAAAACATGATGAACATCAGATTTGCGGGAGAGAGGATAAAGCCATGTATAGCGTGTATAATCATCCACAATAATCAAGTAATATGAAAAATTATCACGCGACAGAATAGGAGAAGGCCCCAAACATCCATGTATAATAAATCAAAAGGTCTCGTACTTAATAAACTAGACACGACAAATGATAGTTTCTTTCTTTTATGAAGAGAGCACGAGTCACACGAAGAACTAGAGGATAAAGAAGTAGCAGGCAAAGATTGGTTACGAAGAACACGTGAAAGAAGCTTGAAATGAGGATGACCCAAGCGTTGATGCCATACAGCCGAAGAGGTGCAAGAGGCAGATAGATCAAGCCAAACAAGAGAAGCTACTGCCGGTAACTCATAGACGTCCCCCCTTATTATGGCCTTGCAGTAGGTGTGCCCCCGTGGCTAGATCATTCACAACAAATAAAATCAATGAAAATTCTAGAGATATAGGACTAGTCTTACATAATTGAGCAATAGAGATCAGCCGACGTTTGATGGCAGGGACACATAACACATTACGTAGAGCCAAACAAGACTTGGCAAAATATAAATCAGAATGGCCAATATGTGTAATTTCCAGGCCTGTTCGATCACCGATTAGTACTTCGTCGGGGCCATTATAATTAGTGTAGGGAGAGCTGATCGAGATCCGGAGTCATGTGCTTTGTAGCGGCAGAATCAACGAGCCAACCATGAGATGACGATGGGGCAGCAACGGTAATATGAGCTTGAGGTCGGCCACGGATTCGAAAACAGTCTTTGGCGGAGTGACCGGTGCGATCACAAAATTGACAAATACTTGGGGTATTCCAAGGATAGATGGGGCAGAAGAGTTTCCAACATAGGAAAAGGAAGTTCGGGATGGAGAATAACCCCTCGGTGACCTCGGACTAGAGTTGCGCAAGGCTGGAGAGAACCCACATGAGCCACCAAAATTGCGGAAGGGAGAACCAGAAGGGTTGGGGCGAGCACGAAAGGAGGAGAAAGTCGTGTTAGGAGTTTAGGACTGAGCCAAGCGAACGGCAGCAAGGTCGGCCTCGAAAGCAACAAGGCGATCATGAAGATCTTCGAAGCGAATAGTGGTATCACGGGCACGAATAGCAGCTGAGAGTTGACCGTATTCCTCAGGAAGGCCACAAAAGAATATAGAGAATCAGATCTTCGTTCGTAACCGGAACATTGATGAGGGCTAATTCGGCAGCAGTGGTACGCATAGTCTGAAGATAAACAACTACTGGACGGTTGCCAAGAGTCTCGCGATCGAGCTTTTCTTTGAGATGAATAACTCGTTGACGTGATTGGCTTTCAAACATCCTCTCCAAAATAGTCCAGGCATCATGAGAGGAAGAGGCTGAGGAAACATTAACGGCAACAATAGGAGCCATAGAAGCAAGAATCGCATGAAGAAGGAGCTGATCTTGCCTAAACAAATGAGTGAGTACTTCAGCGGCAGCAATGGCAGCCGGAGCAGGATGGGTGCCATTGAGAAACTTGAGGAAATCAAGACCTCGAAGAAGAGTCAAGAATTGTGCCTGCTAGGTTGAAAAAGTATCACCGTCGAGCTTGATGGGCAATTGAGAAGCAAGATTGAGGGTAATGATTGTGTTCGTATCAGTGAGATTGATAACCGATTCTCCAAACATGATAACGACAAAGAGAATAAAGAAAGTGATTAACAGAGGAAGAAGGAAAGGTGGAGTTTGCAGGCGTCTCTGGAAAGAAAGGAGAGAAACAAATAGAAACAAGAATGGTGCTGAGAGAAAAAAGAGGATATTTAGTGGTTAAGAAAATTTTAGCTTTAGCTCTGATACCATATTAATGCTAGGAATCGTGAATATCTACAAAATACTATAAGGCAATGTACAAAAAACAGTTTTGCCACGTCAGTCCCTTCTCAATAACCCGCACACGGCGGATGGGCCTTTCGGTAATTCCTCAATATTTATCTTTCTCGGCATCTCTGTCGCGGGTCTCGCGAAAACGTCCCAAAAATCTGACTCATCTCTCTCTCTCAAGTCTCACCTTCTGTATTCCAAACCCTTCCGGAAGAAATTCTCGGCGTGCCCCCTTCCCTTTCCTCCCGCCGCCGCATCGTTCCCCTTGCCTTTAATCTTCCACCGCTGGACCTCAATCTCTATTTCGTAAATCGATTTGCAATACACAGACTAGGAGGGCCAAACCGGTTAATTTGTCAATTCTTAGCTGTGCACCCCAAAATTGCTCTGAAAATCTAAATAAAAGGTTGTTGTCCTCTAAATCAAATAAGCTTTTCTACAATCTTTCTTCCAATTTTCAAATCAACTGATTTTGCAATTACCATGCAAGCATAACCAGAAATTGGATTTAAAGGCTCTCTTTTTCGGTAGAAGTTGAATGAGTTATTTGCAACAAGTTTCTTGAAATATATGATATTTAACTCAGGAAAATTCAATAAACAAAATTTATGGAAGGACATCAAAAAGTTGTTGCCGGGTGAACAGTCACATGAGAAGCGAAACAGAATGGCGGCTACAAACTCTTAATCCTCTTGAGACGTGAGACAGAGTCGAGTAACAAATTCAGATGTCGATCAAAGAGCAAAGAGAAAATAGGCTAATCTCCATCTATCCCTTTCCTTGCCGGAACCTTGAATCATCGGCCTGCTGTCGAATCATATCGTCTTCTTTCCGTCAAAATAACGTTACGATAGGAATTTGGCATGTCGATCAATTGATATATGATGAGATATGAGTGAAAAAGGCTTATTTGGCTGTTGCATGGAGGTGAAAATTTGAGGTTTTGCAGAGAAGCGGAAACGAAATGATAGCTAGCTTCCTGTAGAAGAAAGAGAGAGGGTTGTGAGGGGGAGAGAGATCTGGGTTGTAGAAGAAACTAGAAAGTGACTGGTGGTAGTGGATGAGGGATAAGATAAGAAAGAAAATAATTAATATAATAATAGTAAAATAAAAATGTAACAAATATTGACAAACGTATAATATTGACCAAGGTTCATTATGAGTGGATATAAGATAATATAAACTATCTATAAATTTTGGTCCTCGTTTTTTAATTTACGAAATATATATGTATACTAATTCTATTGAATAGCGGCCAACAAAACAATACTATATTTCTATAATATTGTCTTCGTATTGATTTAATTAAAACAATATAATGATTAGTAGTTATATTCGTGTACTTAATTTGATTTCTTCTAAAATATGTTCTCTTGTGCTCTTGCTTCACAAATTAATTTACTATTTGATCTTAAGTTTTCTTTGATTTGATCCCTATTCATGAAATTCATAGGGAAAAGTCTTAAATTAAGAAGCAAACTTCATACCATATGCTTCGACATAAAAATTAACCTTGGATAGTTAACTTTGAAGGTTAGAGAAATTCAAATCATATGGAAAGCATAAGAAATCACTAGCCTATCACAAGTATACAATTCTTTAATTAGTGATAGTTGGGCGCATTAGAAAAAAAATTCCCATTCAGAACTTAAAACTTAGTATGGAGTACTATCAAGAATCCAAGCCAAATTGTCAGCAAACCGTAAGAAAATTAAAGAAATGAATAAATCAGTTAAAAATTGGACAATATAATATTAATTAGTATAGAAATAATGAAGATAAACTAATTATCATATCGCAGATGAATTTTTATAAAGGTGAAACTTATAACTCAGTTAAAAATTATAGAAGCAGCTACAGCCAAGAGATGAGTGGAAATGGATGCTTATGAATTCCAGATTATTAGCTTTGCTTTATAACTTCCTACTACGTACTACTTCAACAACACACTTAATCTGCAAAATGATAGTCTGCAGTTCTCTTGAGCCTAGAGTGTGTAGCAGAGATTCTTGCCCATTTATTCTTGCCCATTTATGCATTACTTTATTTCCTCACAAATGTGGAGGATTGCGTTTGGATATAGTTTAATCATCTTCATGCAACTTTTTGACCAAGTATTTCTTGATTACCCTTACATTCCGTGGAATTGACAACTACAATGGATTTTATCAGGTTATAATGCTCTTATGTAGTTATGTTGATGCTATTTGAGTTTTCTTTTTATGAATAAAATCTTATCATTAGCTCGACATTTGGTTAACCTTCAAATTATGCTACTTAATCCTCTCTTCATTCTTCGAAGTTCTAAAGGACACCGGCCAACGGGCCGGGCCCAATACTAGTTATTAGATGTAGAGATGGCATTAAATACCCATTCTCAAACTGAAAAGAGACCCATGTAACCCATGTACCACGTAGCATAGAAACAGGGACTTGCTTAACCACTAACTAAATACAATTAAATTAAACTAAAGTTCTATCCTTATCATTAAGTTAAAATCTCCAATATAGCAGAGCATATGCCAATGGTGAAACTTCAGTTCCATTTCCCGGGATAAACTCGAAAATATGACTTCTTTAATCAGGAATGTTCAACGTTGGCTACAACTTGAAAGTCCAAAAACAACACTCATTTACTAGATCTACGCATATTTAAAAGGGGGGTGGGTTAATTGGAATGAAGCCGCTGGCAGACCTCGAAATCAACAAGATTCGTGGGTTGGAGAGTTTTCTGGAGGAGGGAGAAATTCTTGTTATTGTTGTTCGATTAATTGCAAGGTTGGTTTCCGAGATTATAAAAAATGTTCACGTTTAGTCACTAAAAATATTTAATTATATTCGTTGTCACTATCATTAGTTAAACATTTTAACTTTGGTCACTCTCTGTTACCTTTCATTAGTCTCCGTTAACGGCGTCAATTTTTTGCTGACATGGCTAATAGAAATGTACAATCACCTAATTTTAATTAAAAAAAAAACTTAAAAACAAACCCGCCACATCATTAAACCCAACCCATGACCTAACCTACCTAAAAATCCCACTCAACCATTCCCAGTCTCCAATGCATCCCTATCTCTAACCCTTCATTCCCACGAAAAAGTTAATCTGCTCACAAGGGGTTTTGTGAGTAGATACTCACAAGGCCCAGATTTGTCCACATCGGCCCAGTTGTAATCCAAGGGTGAGGGGGTTAGCCCAGCCATGGCTCATTTAAGTGAGCTATTTAAGGGATTTTTTGCACAAGCCGGCCCAGCTGATCAAGCTGAACAAGGTGGCTTGGGTCCACCTTTGATTTGGGCGGGATTGAGAAAGGGAGCCGCTGAAATAACTCGTATCCAGTCGAGACAAATAAATATCCAAAAGTGCACGAACTAATATCCGATCTGAGTTGACAAAAGAGAGAAAAAAAGCATGGCCCATCATCTGCTACTTTTGATGCTTTTGATGAATTTTCACATGAGAGAGATGTTGAGCATTTAATGCCACCCACCAACTATTCTCACATGAAGAGAGAAATCAACCCAGATTAATATTCATATCGTCTAATCTAGTATCCATCCTTAACCAAAATATTATCCATGGACCGAAGGAAATTAGTTTATGTGGTCGGATATTAGTCTGGGCGGTATGGATATTAATTTTTGCATGAACTGATATTATATGCGATGAATATTAGTTTGTGAATTAATTGTGTCTTCCATTAAAATTAAACACGCTATCAAGTCCTAACACATAAGGCTTGCAACCTTTGTTAGGGCTGCCCGCCGAGGGCCCATTGGCCGAAGGCCAATGAATCAATAATAATATGAGAGTGTGTCTTCTAGACCCTGATATTAGTCCATTTGTAATTCCAGAAATTAGTTTATGTGGTTAGATATTAGTCAGGTTGCCAATGATATTTGTTCGTTTAAGGGTGGATTTATTTCTAGTGTGGATGAATGTTAGTCTGGGAGCCACAGATATTTGTTCTATAAAGGACAAATATTTGTTTTGGGGGTAATGGGTGTTTGTATGGGCGGTATGGATGTTTGTTTTATGAACTTATATTATATGCGATGGATATTAGTTTGTAACTATTCACATGTGAACCTTATGGTCACTATTCCCAAGTGAACCTTGTACTAACTATTCAAATGTCATCTTTGTTTATTTAAGCACCCACCCTAACATGTTGGTTTCCCAACTTACCCACCATATTGTTCTTCTCTTCTCAAACAACTTCCATGTCTTCAGAGTCAGAGGATGAAGATATCACCGAGGAAAGCATCCGGAATTGAAGTTTTTTTTTTGTCATGGTAGGTCTTATATTATTCCGTTTGTGATTTCGGATATTAATTTATGTGGTTGGATATTAGTCAGCGTGTCAATGATATTTGTTCGCATAAGAATGAATATTATATCTGGAGTGGATGGATGTTAGTTTGGGCGCCACCGATGTTTATTCGATTTAGGTCATATATTTATTTTGGGGTGAATGGGTATTTGTTCGATAAAGGATGGATATTAGTTTTGCCCGTTATGTAATCAAATATTAGTTTTGCATGATTAGAATTTTTTGTTCCTTTATTTGGATATTAGTCTAATAGTTGTTCTTATTAGACCTTATGATTAATAATATTCGTGTTTGCCCAAAAGAGTATCCATCCTCCTTTTACATCACAAAAATAATGTTCACTTTTCACCAAAATAATTTCAAAGCCCCCCAACTAATTACAACTACATCCACTTGACCTACTTAGGGTTTAGAGTTTAGGGTTCGTGGTTTAGAACACAATGTATGGTGGTTCGATATTTTGTCTGTGTAGTCGAATATTAGTCTGCGACGGTGAGATATCAGTCTGTGTATTGTCTATATTTGACTGTGATGGTGAGATATTACATTTTTAATGACTGGATATTGGTTTGGGATAGTTATATATTAGTTTGGATGGTGTGGATAATTTTCAGGGTTTAGAGTGAGAGTTGTTTTGGTTTATGGTTTAGAAGATGATGTTGTGGAAATAGATATGAACACAATGTAGAATGATTTGATATCTGTCTGTGGTGATAAGATATTACTATGTGATGGGAGGATATTAGTTTGCGATGTGTGGGTATTTCCCGTGTAGTGAGTATTAGTTCGTGATGGTCAGATATTATTTTGTGTGTAGTCTGTATTAGTCTGTGATGGTGAGGATATTAATTATGGATCGACTAGATATTAGTATTAGACTGTGAGATATTAGTCTGGGTGGTGTGGATATTTGTTTTGTGTGGATGTTTATCTATGTTTGTTTGTGTTGATATTGAGTTTTAAAAAATCCATATAAAATAAAGTTGTTTTTTTGACAAACCGCGATACAACTAGTATTAATGTCATTCCAACTTGGCAATCCCATAATCTAAAATCCAAAAAAGTACAACCACATAAAAAAAACAAAAAAGGAATAGTTCAAATGTTGTCTTTCTTGATCAAACTCTCGATAATCTTTTTGATCATGTCCCTCCGAGCCCCCTATGTTTCGATCATGCTACGACGAGGTTGGGAAGGTCCTTCTCTTAGTTGCGTTCTCTTCGCTTTTGTTTTAGTTCTTGCCATTGTCCAATATACCTGGAATCATAGATAAATATCTAGGTATAAATCAACTTATATCCCCACCACACATAACTAATATAAGGTAAATATAATCCATACATCCAGAGTAATATCCAGACAAACCAAAAACAATATTCACCAATGACATACCTAATATTAGGCCAGTAAATTACAAAACTAATATCCAACATGAAACTAACTAAATATCTAGCACGAAATGAACTAATATCCACCGTAAAACGAATCAATGTACATCAAACTAATATCCAACATGAAAAGAACAAATATCAAGCATGAAACAAAGTAATATTAACCATAAAACGAACCAATTCTTGCCATTTTGATTTTCCTGCACAAACAAATATTTTGACATAAGCAAACTAATATTTGGGCTTCACATGAACAATATCCCTAACGTTCAGAAGTCATATCAATAAAATCATATCCTCATTCGTCAAACAAAAACCCAGTCTATCATAAAACTGATATCCCTAAAGATGACAACTAATATCAATGAGGTGATATCCAGATACATAAAAAAAATATCCAGGATAGTATACAACTGATATCGCAACTGATCAAAACTAATATCAATGAATTGACATCAAGATACTAAATAAAACTATCCAGGCAAGTTTATAATGATATCCCAAACCCACAAAACAACTCGCATCCCATGCCACAGAAAACAAATCCATAAAATCCATCCAATATAACTAAGCAAAAGAAAAAAAATCCAGATCTGGCGGTTTCCATGAAACCAGAAAACAAATCAAGAAACCCCATTCTAAAAATCAAAGAAAAAGAAATCAAAGGAAAAGAAAAACCTAGATCCAGTCGAATCCATGAAATCCTAACTCGAATCGAAGCAAACGACATTCGTATCATGAATAAAGGAAGGAGAAGAAGCCTACCTCTGTCAAGGATCGTCGCGCTGCCGTCAATAAACTATGGTCGCTTCCTCGCCGTCAAACCGATCGTTCATTCGCGCGCACCCCATGGATGCACCATCGCTGTCAAACCAGCCGCCGCACGCACACAAACTAACCGTCGTCGCCGTTCAAACATTCGTCGCCATCAAGGACCGTCGCGTGCACCAGCCGTCGTCGTCGTCATCATATTCTTGAGAGGAAGTGAGAAAGTTTTTGCGGGAAATAAAGGGAAGAGGGAGCTTTTTTTTATTTTTGGAGAGAGGAAAGAAATGGACAGAATGATGGAGAGAGAAGTGAAAAAGTGGGTTTATTTGAAAAAAAATGGACCCACTTTTTTTTATAGGTGAAACTGGCTTTGGCCAGCTGAGCCGATCAGCCTCTCCACCCTCACAATCCGGCGTCACTGCTCTACCACCCTCCGATCACGGCTCGGCGACGTTGACAACAATTTGCCAGTGTGAATATATACTAACTAGAAGGATTGTAAGCAGGATAACTAGATTATCATTCCCAATACCTGCCGACGGCTTCCAACCTCCTCATCTTCTTCATCGATGTCGTCATTGTCGTCGATCTTCCCTTCTCGATCCTCCCCCCAAATCCCAAACTTTCGTCGCTCGCCAACCAGTATCTTCTCCCTTTCCACCAGCCCCCTGCGGTTACCAACTGCATAAGCTGTATTTAAGAGGCGGCGCCAGCGGGGGAAGAGTGATCGATCTCGATCTGTTCTCCCAGCAATGGAAGCAAAAGCTTGTGCAGCCGCCGTAAAGATTCGTCATGCTCTTCTGTATATCCAGCACAATTTGGTGCCTCTCCTCTCTCTACAAGTCCTCTGTGTTCCTCCCTGAAGCTATCTTTTCCATCATCTCCTCGCTGGGTTCCTCTCCCGTCGCCACAAAATACTTCCTCCTTAGATCCTTCTTATAATCGGACAAGATCTCTCTGAGAAAGAGGAACTCGTTCATCGTCTCTCTGAATTTCACCCTTAGGGTGTTGTGACGGAGACCCTAGTTCTATCGATGCGGGTTCCTCCTTTGTAGAGCTTTGAGGTCTTTCGGTTGACCATGTTTGAAATTTCAAGGGATTCGACAATATGGTTATCCTGCTAACAGTATAAGCTGTTAGTATATACTAACACGGTCGGATTTGAGGCTACGTAGGCGAGCCGCGATCGGACGGTGGAGGGAGAGAAGAGCAGCTTGTGGCTCGGCTGAACCAAGCCTGTTACTTTTTTTTTTTTTACAATTCAAAAAAACCCAATCTTTTCATTTATGTTTAATTTTCTTTTCTCTCTCCATAATTTCATTTTCCTTTCTCTCCCACTCTCCAAAACTGACTGCTCTCTTCTGTTCTTCTTCTTCTTCTTCCTCTCTCTCTCCCAAATAATTCAAAATACCTCTCGACAACGACGGGTGTGAGAAATACGACGCCGGCGACGAGAGCTACGGGCAGGAAGAAGACGGCGGTGCTTGGCAACGCCGGTAGCGGTGCTTGAAGGAAGACGAAGTCGGCCGAGCAAGAAGGAAGACATCGACGCCAGTAGCGCGAGGAAGACGACTACACTAGCTGCGAAGAGAAGAAAGTTTTTGAGGTAAGCATCTTCCTTTCTCCTGATTCATTGACGGTGAAGGCGGATCTTTGAGGTAGGTGTTTTGGATCTGAGATTCATTGTTAGGGATCTGAGATTCTTGTCGGGGGATTTGAGATTCTATTTGGGGGATCTGGGATTCTTTTGATTTGGGGGATTTGGATTTCTTTCGATTTGGGGGATCTGAGATTTTTTGTGGCTGGATTACATATATTTGATTTAGGGTTTCATAGATTCGACTGGATCTGAGTTTTTTTTTTTTTTTTGCTTCGTTTTTTGGATCTCAGGTTCATTGTTGGGGATCTGGGATTCTTGTCGAGGGATTTGAGATTCGATTTGGGGGATATGGGATTCTTTTGATTTGGGGGATTTGGATTTCTTCCGATATGGGGGATCTGGGATATTTTGTGGCTGGATTACATATATTTGATTTAGGGTTTCATAGATTCGACTGGATCTGAGTTTTTTTTTTTTTTTTTGCTTCATTTTTTGGATCTGAGATTCATTGTTAGGGATCTGGGATTCTTGTCGGGGGATTTGAGATTCGATTTGGGGGATATGGGATTCTTTTGATTTGGGGGATTTGGATTTCTTCCGATATGGGGGATCTGGGATATTTTGTGGCTGGATTACATATATTTGATTTAGGGTTTCATAGATTCGACTGGATCTGAGTTTTTTTTTTTTTTTTGCTTCATTTTTTGGATCTGAGATTCATTGTTAGGGATCTGGGATTCTTGTCGGGGGATTTGGATTTCTTTCGTTTTGGGGGATCTGAGTTTTTTTGTGGCTGGGATTTCTTTCGATTTGGGTTTCTTTTGATTTGGGGGATTCATTTTTTGATGTCGATATTGTTTGGGGGTTTCTGGATTTTGCTCGTTAATTTGATATTTTTTACCTGGAAAATAGTTTAGCTGGCATGGGATACCATTTAGTTTAATGTGGATATTGTTTGGTGGTTGATTGTCCGGATATTGGTTATGTGATGCATAGATATTTGTATGCTAGGTCTGGATATTTTTATGCCCTGTATGGATATTAGTTCAATGATATTAGCTCTTTTCAGGAATTGTTTCTGGATTTTGCTCGTTAATTTGATATTTTTTTACCTCGAAAATTGTTTAGCTGGCATGGGATACCATTTAGTTTAATGTGGATATTATTTGGTGGTTCATTGTCAGGATATTGGTTATGTGATGCATAGATATTTGTATGCTAGGTCTGGATATTTTTATGCCCTGTATGGATATTAGTTCAATGATATTAGCTCTTTTCAGGAATTGTTTCTGGATTTGCTCGTTAATTTGATATTTTTTTTACCTCAAAAATTGTTTAGCTGGCATGGGATACCATTTAGTTTAATGTGGATATTTTTGGGTGGTTGATTGTCCGGATATTGGTTATGAGATGCATAGATATTTGTATGCTAGGTCTGGATATTTTTATGCCCTGTATGGATATTAGTTCAATGATATTAGTTCTTTTCAGGAATTGTTTCTGAATTTTGATCGTTAATTTGATATTTTTTTACCTCGAAAATTGTTTAGCTGGCATGGGATACCATTTAGTTTATTGTGGATATTGTATGGTGGTTGATTGTCAGGATATTGGTTATGTGATGCATAGATATTTGTATGCTAGGTCTGGATATTTTTATGCCCTGTATGGATATTAGTTCAATGATATTAGTTATTTTCAGGAATTGTGCAAGATGACAAAATCCAAAAGGTGTTCGATGCCAGCTCCTCCAAGAGAAAGGGAGGCGGAGACACATCACTGGCTCAATCCAGACGCATCATGCTGGGAAAACAAAGATTTTGACAACCTTGACCTAAATCAGGTACATAGATGTTGTCTTTGCTTCTTAAGTGACATGGTTGCATATAGTAAACTAAATATTTTACAACATATGTAGCTTGCGGCAATGGACTCAATGGTTGAGAGCATGATCCAAATGTGGAGGGCTCGGGACGACGCGCTCAAAAAAATTATCAAGCGTCAGCAAGACAACAGTTGAACTATTGCTTTCTCATTTCTTATATGGTTGTGCTTTTTCGGATTTGAAATTCTTGGATTGCCAAGTTGTAATGACATCAAATACTAGTTTTATCGCGATTTGTCTATCAAACGACTCTTTTTATTAAGAATTCGAGTTTTTTATTCTGAAATATTATTTGCTCGTCGAAAACACATATCCACAAAACAAATATCCAAACCACTCAAACTAATATCCGACTGTCGCACTAACATCCGTTCTCCATTACAAATATCCATACTACCCATACTAATATCTCATCATCTCATACTAATATCTAATCATCCCGAAATTAATATTCTTACTTTCAAATTTTCATCAAAAAATAATATATATGTACACACTATTTCTTCATACTTGAAAACCAATGTAAATAAACATCCATGCAGAACAAAAATTCAAACCACCTAGACTAATATCCGAGTGTCGCATACTAATATCCACTCACAATCACAAATATCTACACCACCCAGACTAGTATCCCTTTGTCTCAGACTATTATCCAGTCAAACCATAATTATTATCCTCACCATCATAGACAAATATCCACCACACACTGACTAATATCTTACCCCCGCAAACTAATATCCGACTACTCAAACAAATATCCACACATCACAAACTAATATCCTCCTATCAAATAGTTACCAAAAGTGCTAGATGCTTAAATAAACGTTGGACAACATCTTAATAGTTACCAAAAGTGCCCCATTAGAATATACAAACGTCCAAGAAAATTTCCGAAAACATGAACTAATATCACTTCAAACCAAAGCTAGACCCTAAACTCTTAACCCTCTTCCCAACACAAACCCTAAACCATAAAAACTATTGTTATTTAATGGACAGTTACCAAAAGTGTCTCATTAGAATATCTAAACTTCCCAAAAAAATATCCGAAAATATGACTAATGAACCATGAACCCTAAAACTAAAATGAATATCCACACTACCGAGAAGAATATCCACACCACCCAGTCTAATATCCCACCGTCTTAGAAAAATATCATGTGATCCCAAAATTAAAATTATCCATATATAACATACTAATATCCATCACACACAGACTAATATCTTATTGTTGTACACTAATCCGAATTGTTACAAAAAGTGCTAGATGCTTAAATAAACAAAGGATCACATCGGAATAATTACCAAAAGTGCCCCAATAGAATATCTAAACGTCCCAAAAAAATATCCCAAAACATGAACTAATGAACCCTAAACCCTAAAACTAAAAAAAATATCCACACTACCCAGACAAATATCCACACCACCCAGTCTAATATCCTTCTGTCTCAGAAGAATATCATGTGATCCCAAAATGGATATTATCACTATGACATAATAATATCCACCACATACTGACTAATATATGATAGTTGTAGACTAATCCGAATAGTTACCAAAAGTGCTAGATGCTCAAATAAACAAATGATCACATCGAAATAGTTACCAAAAGTTCTCATTAGAATATCCAAACTTCCTAGACAAATATCCGAAAGCACGAACTAATATCAATTCAACCAAAAGCTAATATCCGAACCACGTAAACTAATATCCATTCATTGCAAACGACCACAAGACTAATAATTAAACCTTTAACCCTAAAAAAATAATAAATCCTAAACCCTAACACTAACACCCTAATCACTTTACCAAAAAAAGCCCTATTAGAATATCCAAAAGTCCAAGAAAATTTTCGAAAACATGAACTAAATATCAATTCAAACCTAAGCTAGACCCTAAACCCTTAACATTAAACCGTAACACAAACCCTAAACCATAAAACTATTATTATTTAATGGGCCTTCGGCCCATGGGCCCTCGGCGGGTAGCCCTAACTAAGGTTGCAAGCCTTACGTGTTAGGACTTCCTAGTGTGTTTAATTTCTTACTGTGTTTAATTTGATGTAAGAAACAATATTCCAATCCTTCACAAATTGAAAATCCGAACCATAAACCCTAAAACTTAAACTCTAAATTGGTATAGTCAGTTTCGGGTGGTTGGGTTATTTTGGGGTTTGGTAAATATTAGTTTAATGATGGATATTGGTTTGCGAAGGAAGAATACTAGTTCATTTCAACAATGATGCAAAGTAATATCAACACAACAGAAAATAATATCGACTGAAAACAAATAAATATCCACACAAACAAACATACATAAATATCAAAGGGGGCCCATCAATTTTCGTTCTCTTTCCACTCATATCCATTCTCCCGCCCAAACTCAAGCCGGGCCCACCAGCCCACCACGCCACTTGCTCTGATCCGCCGCCACATGCTGGGCCGGCTTCTACATATTGGCCCACCTACAGCTCACTTAAGTGAGCCACCACCAAGCCGCCTCTCCCCTCCGTTGGATGAAACATGGGCCGACGTGGCCCAAAATCCTGCCCTGTTAGTATCTGCTAACATTTTGAGCAGTTCGGATTGAGTGGTCAGAGGATAAATTTGGGAAAGTCAGCCGTTTGTTTTAGTAAGAACGTTACTCTTCCAGACCAGGAGTTTCTGGCCCAGATTTTGGGGGTTGGGGCGGTGGGCGTGCATGATAAATATTTGGGGCTTCCTACCCTCATTGCTCGCTCCAAGATGGCTACCTTCCGTTATTTAGAGGAGAAATTGCTGGAATGCCTTCAGGGATGGAAGCAACGTACGCTTTCCTGGGCTGCAAAAGAGACTTTGATTAAATCAATAGCTTTGGCGTTGCCACTGCATGTCATGTCTTGTTTCCGACTCCCGTTGTCTATGTGCCGTCTCCTTGACCGCCATGTGGCTCGCTTCTGGTGGGGAGTAGAGGAGGGACATTCCAGGATTCGGTGGGTTTCATGGCGTAACATGTGCCGGAGTAAACATGAGGGAGGCATGGGATTTCGCCGTTTTGAACAGTTTAATCAGGCCCTCTTGGCGAAAATTGGTTGGCAGATTCTCTCGGAACCTGACTCCTTGTTAGCCAAAGTATATAAAGGGAAATATTTTCCAAATGGTACTTTCCTGTCGGCAACGGCTAGATCTCGTCCGTCTTGGGGATGGCAAGGTGTCCTTTATGGTCGTCAACTGCTGGAGAGAGGGCTACGATGGCAGATTGGAAATGGGCGTACGGCGTCTCTCCTGCATTCTAATTGGATTCCCCAGGTGCATCCCTGGCCGGTGCGGTATAATCCCCGGGTTCTGCCTGCTGGGGGGGACCCTACTGTCTCGGAAGTAATCAGCCTGGACGGCGGTTGTTGGGCGGAGGATAAGCTGGGCCAGTGGTTTGAGCCGGTTACGTGTAATGCGATCAAAGACATTCCTTTGCCTCGGCAGAATCTAGAGGATAAGTTGATTTGGCATGCCACGGCTGATGGGGTTTTTTCAGTTAAATCAGCCTATCATTTAGCGGTATCAGTTGAGAGAGGTATTGGTCGGTGGCGACAGTTGGCTTCTTGGATGGATAAGCCTAGTTGGATCCGTTTTTGGGAGGCTAATATCCCGCCTAAATTGAAGGTTTTCTGCTGGCAAATTTTTAATAGAGTCCTTCCAACCACGGAAGCTCTACGGGAGAGAGGAGTTGAGGTACTTCCCCGTTGTCCGGTCTGCTGGGCGGAATCTGAAACTATGGAGCACTTGTTCCTGGATTGTCCTGTGGCACATGCGCTTTGGGATCTATCGGGCTTAGAGCATCTTGGCCAAGGTTTGCCACGCCACACTTTCCCGCTCTTTCTCAAAAGGTTGATGAATATAGTGAACCAGGCTCCCCTATTAATGAAAGTAGTGGCTATCCTGTGGAGGATCTGGCGATCTAGGAACTGGGTTGTCTTTGAAGGCAAACAGTATGGGATCCCGGTCTTGATGCGCCAATTTCATCAGCAATTTGAGGAATGGGATAGCCTGGCCGCTGTTAGACTCCCGAACCCTTGCGCTCCTTTGATGGGGCACCAGTCGTCTGGTGTCCACTCCCGCGTTTCTTGTAGGTGGGATGGGGCAACGAGGGCTGGGTCTCATTCAGCAGGAGGGATGGTTATTGTGGATGATAAGGGGGCAACAGTGTGGGCCGCAGGGATTCAGTTTCCGCACATTGATGCGCCTCCAGTTGTGGAGCTGTTAGCGTTGCGGGAAGCCATTTTGTGGGCCCTGCGTCTGGGATTTACTGCGATGCAATTTGAGGGCGACGCCAAGGTCATTATTGACAAAATCAACCGCGCAGACGCGAGTGATAGCCAGATGGGAGTAATTCTTCAAGAAGTTATAAATCTTTTAGCTGTCCATTCTGGGTTTTGTATACGGTTTGTAGGTCGGTGTAACAATAGGGTAGCCCATTTGGTGGCTAGGAAAGCCCTGTCCTTGTACCCGGCTACGTGCCGTTCTTTTGATTTTCAGGCCTGGCTGTCTTCCAGGATGTAACTATCGATTTCTTCAATCTAATGGATTATCTTTTGTCAAAAAAAAAAAAGCAGATTAACTTCTGCGGGGATTCGAGGCTGGCCTTACTTTATGAGAAGAAACAAAAGAGAAGAACAGAGCAAGTGTTACCGGAAAGGGAACGAGTACAAGAAGCAAGAAATAACACACAGAGACAAAAGGCATCTTGATTGCTTTTTGTTTAACCTGTATTGTACCAGATCCAAGGATTGAAAAGACTAGCGAGCAAAACCTTTACTGGGTTTTTGTGAAGTCCCTTCTCCAGGAGCCCTGAACAACGCCATAAACTAGCCACCATAGAGATGGAATTAAAAACTCATCATCAAGAATAATTCTTTTTACGTACGACAACGCCACTCCCTTTGTTTTCAGAAGATAGTCCAGATATTTGATGTGGGAACAGAGAAATCGAATCCAAAAACGAAGCAAAGAGGCAAATGGGTATTTCTTTAAAGATCGAGCTCTCTCCTCCTCTGGCGCCGCCTCTTGGATACAGGTTCTGCAGTTGGTAACCGTAGGGATAGGGTTGGGAATCCGGTCTCGGATTTTTGGTCAAATCGAAAACCGGACAGTTTAAATCGTCCCGGTTGTAACCGAAAACCAGATTGCATCCAATCTGATCCCGTCTCCGGTCAGGCGAATTTGTCCAGTCAAAATGACTTAGGCGGCGACGTTTAGTTTACTTTGTTTAATAATTCCGGGTTTTTGGTTAAAACCGGATCCAATCCAACATCCAATCCAATCCCGTCTCTGGTTGTGATATTGGCCAAAAAAGTTGTAAAAAATCGGGTCAATCCGGTCAAATTTTAACCGGACAGGACCGTTTTCCACCCCTACGTAGGGGGCATGTGGAAAAATAGGGAGATTGGTTGGCAAAAGACGAAAGTTTGAGATATGGGGGAGGAACAGGAAGGGAAGATTGACGGCAACGGCAACGGCGATGAAGAAGATGAGGAGGTTGGAAGCCGTCGTCGGGTATGGGGAATGAAGGTTTAGAGATAGGGATGCATTCGAGATTGGAAATAGTTGAGTGGGTTTTTTTAGGTAAGTTAGGTCAAGATCGGGTCATGAGTTAGGTTTAATGATGTGGTAAGTTGATTTTTAAGTTTATCTTATTAAAATTGGGTGATTGTACATTTCTGTTAGCCACGTTAGCAAAAAATTGACGCCTTTAACGGAGACTTACGGAAGGTAACGGAGAGTGACCAAACTTGAACTGTTTAACTAATCATAGTGACGATGTAGGAAATTAAATATTTCTAGTGACTAAACATGAACGTTTTTTGTAATCTCAGTAACCAACCTTGCAATTAACCCTATTGTCATTGTTTCCGTCACTCTTCTTCTTGGGCTTTAAGACTAACTCCAACCATGAGGAGAAAATATACTCCCCTTCAGAGCAAATTTTCTCTTTTACACCCCAAATTCACTTTCCTCCTCCAACCATACCGCATCTTAAATTTGGCCCCCACCTTATTCTTTCCTTTTTGATTACTATAAATTATACTTAAATCAATCTTAATGTTTTTTCTTCACTTTAATTTTTTCATACTTGCTCATTATTAATTGAAACAAATTTTTCGATGTAATTTTTTTTATTCAGACATAATTTTTTTGGAAAAATATGACCACTTTTTTGTACTATTACCTTTTTTTGTCGTTTTTTGTAACATATTACCTTTTTTTGTCTTAAAACTTAACGATATGCAGTTGTGATTGATTCTAATATCCACACGCAGATGGAGTACTTCACTAGAGTCAATAGGCTTGGTTCCACAGCAACACACCAAGCCATTCGTAGTGACTTGGTTGAACACCTATGGAACAAGCATGGAAATGATTAGCCTTTGTTGGTTTGTGAAGTTGGATTTGTCAGTTTATCAATTAAGTTAGTTTAGCGTTATTCGATTTGAATGGATTTGTCAGTTTATTCGATTTGAATGGTGTATGCCTAGTTTAATTTGGTTCAGTTTCTCAATATCTAGTGTGCAAAAACTAGTGAAAAAGATTGAATATATAGAACATATTATGACCATTTTTTTATTGCCGTTAAAATATGACCGTTGAAATATGATCATTATTTTTAATATTCGTTATTTTTAATATTCGTTATTTTGTATGTATCTAAATTTAAATCACAAAGTGAAAGAAATAAATAGAAACCAAAAAGGAAAAAGACAAAAATATGTGCTAGAGCAAATTTGCTCTTTTGCTCCAATTAGGTGCAAATATGCCCCAAATTTTGCTCTGTCCATTTTGTCCCTTATTTTTTGCAAGTTTGGAGGAGATGAAAATCTATCTATCTATCTATACATAATATTATGGCAATTCAAAAGTAGTTTGTTGCCACATAAGCATTTGGAGAATTTACAAGATGCCATGGTGGACACTTTTTTTTACAAACAAAAAAGTTAATTAATGATCAATTAGTGTAGCTATATCTATCTTTTTTTTTTAATATTTTTCTTTTATTTTAATGATTATTTATGTAACATATATTGTAATTAAAAAAAAATATTTGATTAAATCTGATCAATTATCTTTTTTATTTTTATTAGAACTTAATATAGTGAAGTTTAGATAATCAACATTTAATAATCAATTGAATTTGAAAAACCAACTATATAATTTTATGTTTTGGTTATCAAACACTATCTTTTTCTAATATTTGTATCTATCAACAAAAACAAGTATTAAATAGGAAAATACTTCAAAAGTTGTTGTTTTCATTTTAATAGAAACATGACGAGCCATAATGTAGTACCTGATTGTACAGATGAAGACGATAAAGAAAGACAACTTTTCTTCTCTCTTATAATGCATGTTTCCATACCTTATTGTCTCTTACATTTGTTCATATTTCCCCTTATTTTTCTTAACAGATTACATATTTCGGTCAAACAAAGGTGTTAATTACACTTCAAAATATATTAAATTCTTTATATTTATATATGTATATTATGACATACCTTGAGTAAGAAAACGATATATAGACCTTGAATTGACCAGAGTTTGGCATATGGTATTATTCTCAAAGCCTTAAAGATTAAAATCTAGGTCTTAAATTTATAAATCTCATACACTAAGATCAGTTTAATTATAAACAAAAATCAAAGGTCATGATTCGACAAAATATATGCAAAAAATTACCTGCACAATCTTAGGGGTTAAGCTCTATTATTTAGATAACTAAGACCTCGGGTTCAGTTATCAAGGTTAGGGTATAGTATCATGCCCACAAAATCCGGTTAATTCGTGATTCTGATAGCGTTTTCTTACTTAGAGTATAGTATCATGCTTAGATATTCTTAACAAACACCAAAAATAAATAAATTTTAGCAAATGCATATTTGATAAGATAGAAAATTATGCACTAATGGATCATGTTAAGATTAGAACCCTCGATAGTGTGTGTGTGAGTATCTTGGACCGAGATTCTAAACAACGACCATGAGTTGAGGGTGAGTCAAAATTAAACTTTAGGTATTAACAATTGGTACATATTGTATAAGATATTAAATTGAGTGTCTTGATCGATAAATATGATCATACACTAAGATAGTAAACTTTAAATTGGGATGACCAAATTTATCTAATATTGATGTACCTTTATAAAAAAATTCTAACTAAGTTGTCGTCATCTGAGCAACATCATTGGTTGAGAGTTCGTCCAAACTCGAGATTCATTGAATGACATATATAGTACAAGATAAAAAAATTGAGTATCGTTGTTGACAAATCTTGACATAAGATTCTTTATGGGACGTGATATATCTTTGTGACATGATTTATGATCAGAGAATCGAAACATCATAAGTGAATGTACTAAGTATTGAGAATTTTTAATTTATAGATGCACTGCATACTCACATATAAATGCAAATGTAAAAAATTTAGAAAATCCAAAATAGTTTAAACATATAGATAAATTGAAATGTAAATGATAAAATGAAACTCATCGGCCAACGGGCCGGGTAAAAAGCTAGTGTATAAATATACTTATAGTTATTTGCTCCACCATTTGCTCCATGGTTGGAGTTAGTCTAAGAAGGAAAGGTTTGAAGCTGATCTCCATTGCCCAAGCCTTTGGTAGAAAGATGTTTGGGCCGAGTGGACTGCCCACCAGAACTAATCCAAGTCCAACGGCAGATGCCCAATTCCCCCTCTGAGTCCAGAAACCCACTGAACACCCTGTCGATGAAGTGAAATGCAAATTCAGCCATCGACACAATCTCCGATTCTCCGGCTACCTTAAGATTCCTGGCAGCGATTTCGGCAGGTACCATCCAATTGGGTTTTACTCTATTCAAACTCAATACCGGTCCATGGAATGAATCAGTTCGCCCCGTTGAGCATCGCCCGGAATTACTCGTTCGCTTCGTCAACTGTTGCTGTTCTAAGAAGGCAGAGTTTCTTGATTAGAGCACTGGGAAGAGGTATTCATCATAAAGTTGATAGTACTATTGGCAGTATAATGCAAGAGACTGAGGCTGATGCTGTGAGCATTATCAGAGCAATCACTCCTACTCTGGATCCAACTCGACATAAAGGCCAAGCGGGTAAATAGAGCACTTGAGAGTAAAAAAGATTGCAACTTTGATTTCAGTTTCAACCTCTGATGGTTGTTTATAGCTCTTACCGTTTGTTGCCAACTGGGTTTTGGATTGATTGTTGTTAACTCAGGGAGAATAGCTGTGATTGGAGGGTGCCGGGAGTACACTGGAGCTCCTTATTTTGCTGCTATTTCGGCCTTGAAAATTGTTAGCTATGCATCTTTTATCTCTGGTGATACTATTTTTGTTCTAGTTTAATGGTAGTGTGTTGGGGTAGCTTAGTTGTGTTGGTTGGCAGGGTGCAGACTTGTCTCATGTGTTCTGTACCAAAGATGCTGCTCCTATTATCAAGAGCTATAGTCCCGAGTTGATCGTTCATCCAGTTTTGGAGGAGTCTTATAGTGTAAGGTATCCTTTTTGTTCAGCTTCACGTTACCTTGATGGTGCATAAAATCTGGTTAGTAAGCCTGTGTGACAAATTTAAACCTTTCAGGGAGGAAGAGAGAAAGCAGGTATCAGTGAAAGTTGTAGCTGAGGTCGATAAATGGATGGAGAGATTCGATTGCCTTGTTGTTGGGCCTGGTCTTGGAAGGGACCCATTTCTTCTGGTGTGTGTGTCTCTTAACCTTCCAGGAATATGATTTCCTGTGATTACATACTGAATCCTGTACAACATTTGTAGGATTGTGTCAGTGAGATCATGAAGCATGCAAGGCATTCGAATGTTCCAATTGTCGTAGATGGGGTATGCAACTGTGTTAAGATGAATCAAAATTGGTCTCTGACAAAAGGCCTTTCGATTTCTCTTTTTTGGTTGTCGACTATAATGTGTTGAAATTCATTTTTTCTGGCAGGATGCACTCTTTCTTGTAACAAACAATCTTGATCTGGTTCATGGTTATCCATTGGCTGTTCTGACCCCCAATGTGAATGAATACAAACGACTGGTTCAGAAGGTTCTCAAATGCGAGGTCGATGATGCTGATGCACACGGACAATTATCGTCTCTTGCTAAACAGTGAGTGAAAACAAACCACAGTTTGCTTGGTCTTAGTAGCTAGTCCAAAGGTGTTCTACTTACTGATTTTTATTGGTCAGGATTGGTGGTGTAACCATCTTAAGGAAAGGAAGATCTGACCTCATCAGTGATGGTGATTTAGGTACGGAATCAACTTGTTGACACATCAATTTCAGTTTTGTTTGTGTCCCTCTCTCGTAACGAGAAACGCTCTACTGGGTTATCTTTATGCAGTGAACTCGGTGAGTATCTATGGGTCCCCTCGGAGGTGTGGAGGGCAGGGTGATATTCTCTCCGGAAGGTGAGTGACCGATCATACTCGATCAATCATGTGAGGGCAACTTCATAGTAACCCTGTGTTTGATAACGAAACTTCTAAATCTTTACCCTACAGCTCTTAGACCTGACAGATGATCGAGATTTCCTTCCAAGCCACTTCTAATATACATGAAGATGTCATCAACCCATGAACTAGTTTCCGCCCAAAGAACCAAACCCATTTAAACCCAAACTACAACCTCATTAACCCTCAAACCCAACCAACAAACTCACCAACCCAACCTATTTTCCACCTTTACATGCCTGTGTTTACAAAGCAAAGTTATCCCCATTGACTGTTTTCCTTTTTGTTTGTGCTAGTGTTGCAGTATTTCTATCTTGGGCACACCGAGATTCCGTAGCTGCTGACAGGAATCCAACTATTCTAGGATGCATTGCCGGATCAGCTTTGCTCCGGAAGGCTGTATCTCTTGCTTTTGAGACAAGAAAAAGAGCGACTCTAACTACCGATATCATCGAGTGTCTTGGAAGAAGGTAATGAATCTGGCTTGTTATTAAATCATTTCCTCTCCTTCTTATTAGAAAGAACGAAGCTGAATGTCTGTATTTCCATTTCTTGCAGTTTGGAGGATATCTCCCCAGCCCGTTGAGCTTCATCTTCAGTCTTCTACCTAAACCTTATTTGTTGTAGAAAGTTGTTCTTGGTTTTCACACCTGTCTGAGTTCTTCTTTGTTTAGTTGCCTTGTATATCAACGTAATAAAAAGGATTAGGTCCATTTTGATGCAACTTGTGCTTGAAGAATCTTGCCACTTTGATGCTCTGTCATGTAGTCTGAAACAACTTTTGGGTTGCTTTGTTGTAGCCCCCTGTAATGTGGAATGTGTGGATTACATGGAAGAATGCTTTTAATATCCCAAATCTAGGTCTCGTTTGCTTGTTAGATTTGAAAATGAAGGTTTTGAGTTTTAAAAATCTTTGGACTTATGATGGATTTGTTTCATTATGGATTTGGAAAAGTACATTGTTTGTTTAGTTAATTTTTATAATGGATTTACGAGGAATTTGTCTCACATTTTTTCCTTTCATTATCAAATCCCAAATAAAATATGGGATTTGCAAATCCGTGGGCCCTATAGATTTGTATCTCTTTACAATGGATTTGTGTCAAGTCCGTGATGCTTGAGGTTTGTATGTCAAATCCATCACCCAAAACCCACAAGCAAACGATACCTACTAGTGTTTTCTTTATAAGGATTGTAAATGTGTAACCATACAAATTAGATTGGTTGTTTTTATATGCTACTAAAAGTGGTTTGCAGAATGATAAATTATATCCTAAGATTCGAGATTGGGGCATAGGATACTGGAAAAGGAAAGTCTATCCTATAACTAGAACTTGAGCCATCATGGTTGTTGAAATCTTATAAATCAAAGTTTTCAAAATGCTTTGCGCCAGTCGAATGACAAATGGCTGGAGAACGTAAAATGTAAAAACGAAAAGCATCAACCATAAGAACATACCATAGAATACACAGCCAAACAAGAATCCCAAATTTTACAAGACAGACTTCAACCCAAAACACAACATCAAAACCAAATCTACTCGCATACCATCTTTCCATGTCTCAAACTACCAGTTCCATTACACAATCAACCCACGTTCAAGAATCCGAGGGTGGCTGCTGCTGTTCTTCCTCTTGCTGATGTGGCCACATCTGTGGCGCCATGTAAGGACGAGGCGGCTGACCATAAAGGGCCTGATCAACCACCGGCCTCCCGACACTCATCCCACCAACAGCATTCACCTGTGGAGGCTGCATGTAATAGTAAGGCACAGCAGGTTCAGGCGGACCCTGAAGTCCACCAGCCCTCGGGATAGAGGCCAGAACCTCATCCTTCAAATCCTCCCTTGGAACGATATCGACCAAGAAGTCGAAGATATCAGTCCTGGTGATCGCGGCGGCGATGTCATTCTTCTGGAGAGTCCTCCGCTTGTTCTCCTCGGTGTGGTTCCACGAACGCAAAGTGAGCTCGAGGATGAACATCTCGCACGCCCTGGCGAATATGACTGGAGCTTCGGCCGAGATCATCCTCACGTCCTCGTCGGCTTTCATTATCTTCTTGATCCTTGCCAAGGGCAGGCTGTGGTTCTTGAAGTCGGTCGTCTGCTCGATCTCTTGGTACTGGTTGGTCCAGAAGCTCTGGAGCTGCTGCTGAAGCTGCTGCTGCTGTTGCTGGTGCATGTGCTGATACGCCATCTGGTGCTGTGCTAACTGAGCTGGAGACTGACCTGAAGGTATCATCTGGTTAGGCTGGTATGGAGAGATTCCGTAGGGGACTGGAGCAGTAGTTCCAACCCCAGTTGCTGCAGGAGGTTGCCCTTGTTGATCCATGACACTAACCTGTTCATTTTTATCCCAGAATAGATATTCAAGCACTCATCAACATTCAGTGAAGCAAATTGCCAAAGATTGGAGGAAGTATAATACAAAGTGGATGAAACCTGAGTGACGTCTCTATAAACCACTACTGCACTACATCATAGTACATGTTTAAAATCATGGCTTTGTCTCTCGCCTTCTAAGATCATCTCAAGGCTTTTTTGTTGATAGTTAGCAAGAACTAACAAAACTAGTGACAATGACAAATTCCATAGGGAGGGAAAAAGAAGATGCAAGAACTCCGCACATGATTCACAGTACACTAAAGAAGGAACTGAATTCTGGGTTGGGACAATGAACTGGAATTCGGGCTGCCCTACTAATTTTTTTTTTGAATATAGGGCTGCCCTACTAATTTGGGGTGTACCTCTAAAACAAAAAGCCAAACACAATAATATATCGAGCACCCTAGAAAAGTCACATGAACTCATCTAGATCCTCCACAAGCAAATTCCAAACGAAGAATCATAGATGTAACCCTAAAGCCCTAGTCAAACTTTCATCTAACGTTGAGCAAACCCCACGCAGCAGAATTCAATGTCAGCAGAACCCAGATACGAAGAAGAATCAAATTACAGAAAAGGGCACCTGTTGGACTCGGTTCTCCCTCCCTTGGGTCGTCTCCTCCAAAGAATTGATGCAAAACCCTAACAAGAATGGCACGATTGTTAGTTGGAGAGTGAAAAAGGTGAGAGAAGCAACAGAATATGCGGATAAACCGAGTAGGGGAAACAGAAAGCGAAGAACTTTGAGATATAGGAACTGGGGCGTGGGGAAAAGACCAAACCTTTTTCAATGGAAAGTCGGAGATAAAGGAGAGGCAGCGAGCGAGCGAGCGAGCGAGGGGAGGGATGAAATGGGAGAGACAGCTCAAAGTTGGGGAGTATGGAAATTGAATGGAGGGTTTGAGCTGAGACGGAAACCGTTGCGTCTCTTTGTCCCGTTGTGACCGACTTTTCCACTAGTCTTCAATAAACCCCCCAAAGAAACACACTTTAAGAGCGAAAAGGAAAACCAAACGCCATAGTTTTGGCCCATTTTCGTCGTCACCCCCACATTCTTAAGGAACTTAAGATGAGTCATGATTCATGTATTATGATTGGTTCAGTATCCTCAAATCACTTGTTAAGAATTTTGTTTTTTATACGGAAAACTGTTATCCACGGTCACCCTTTGTAAAGGCGTAGACACGTTAAATTCCGTATGAGTTATGAAAATTGTTATTCATGGTAACGACTTTGTAACGGTGTAGACAAGTCAAACTTCGTACACTTTGTCAGGACAACCAGTTGTTGTTGCCACTTGTTTATATATTTCTACTTTTTCAAAATTTACTATATTTAGATTTGGTTATGTAACTATGAGAGTAGAATGATTTATCTCATATTTATCTTCTTTTTGTCCGTAATAGATGTATCGTATTATGGAAGATCATAATGACATTTCCTTCTCCAGATATATTATATATGCTACATTGTTTACTTCTTCTTAATTTATATTCTTTATGTTAGTAACGACGTGACGTCTCCATCAAATAAGGGGTCGTTTGGAAGTTGCGTATCTTAAATCGTTGTATTGTTATGAATCACTATGATATAAATGCATGCATTGATACAATAGATGCATTTTGAAATTACATTGTTTGATTGTTGAGATTATAATTTATGAATTGATTGTTATAAAGTTACTTTATAAGGAAATGTCATATTTGTCCTCCACTTTTAATATAAAACAAAAAGAACTATGGACATAATTGGAAAAAGTAAATGTGCTCAATTATTAAACCAACAATCTCAACTTTTAGTTGAGATTGTACAATCCATCATTTTTGTTGATTGTTGGTGGGACCCACACAAAACAATACATGCATTGTTTTGCAACTTGACACTTCCAAACGTTGTATTATGGACAATGCATATATTTAGCAAATACAATGCTAACAATCACGACTTCCAAACGACCCCTAAATAAATAAAAAAACAGAGCATTAGTCTTAAGTCATAATAACCCTAATTGGGCTTTGGTGTTGTTTGTATGATTAACAAATCATAGTATCATACTAAAAGCAAGCCCCATAGAGCACAACCATCAAACTTCCTCTAACTTTGCAGCCTCTTGCGTAATTGCGTAAGCATCTGTGGCTCCAGATTACCCCAAATTCCACCACTAAATCCATCCATGTGCATCAACTCGGAGACATGATGAAACCCGATTTGACAACACCCTTCCTCAACACTAAATGCAACCTAGGGCTGTTAGTTGGGTCGGTCATGGTCAAACCAAACTGACCAGTCAGTTAACCGCAACAAAAACCAACTCTTAGAGGCAAACTGACATCGACATTGACAAGCAAGTCGGTTAGCCGAAATTGACAGTTTGCGGTTCGGTTAGTCGGGTTGCCGAAACAGATAAATGCAGCCTCACTTTTCTATTATCGGTTAAAAACTAACCGAACTGAGAAACTAACCGACGTGGAAAACATGGTTGTCGGGCTGCTGGCCTGGTAGTAGCTGCTGCTGGGCGATAGTTGCTGACCTGCTCTACATACAAATTACAATACATATATAGTGTTGTAAAATAAAAAATAAAGATCCAACATACATAATATTAACAAATAACAATAACATAATCAAGTTCAACACATGAGTCATAAGTAACTCATAACTCACAAGAGTCAGAGTTTATTAGTTCAACACATTCAACTTCAAGTTCATGAAAATCTTCATGAGTTTAAATAAACCATAAGCTCACATAAAAGATAAACATAATAAGAAGTCCAAACATTCAACTTCCAAGTTCAAATCAACCACCTAAACAAACCTTGGATCGCACTCCAAATCATCATGTCCATGATCATTATCAACATTAATATCTTCATTCTCCTCATATGGATTAACATCAGAATCGTGGAGCTAGGATCAACAGGAAAGCTTTGGGTTTGGCCAACACTGTCACTCTCACTTTGACTATCCATTCTACCTCGCATAGTATTGTAAACTACAAGAATTTTTTTTTAGTAAAGTGTTAGGAACTTAGGATATGATCATTGACAAAAGTTGAGAAAATGATAGTGATAAAAATAAAAGAGATAGTACCACTTTCAAACTCAGTAAGCTCTTCGAGGTTCTTTTCATTATCAACCAATTGTGAATCGGGGAATTGTATCCAATCTTCCGTATAAATCAATGTCTCAACAATTTTCGGGGTCAAAGAGGACCTGAAGGAGGATAGAACCCAACCTCCCGTGATGAAAGCAGACTCCGAGGCAACAAAAGAAATTGGAACAACTAAAATAGCATTCACCATTTCAGAAAGGACGGGATATCTAATATTGTTCCGAGACCACCATTTCAGGATATCGAACTTCTCATCATCCTCATCCTCAAGAATAGCATCATTTGCATCCCTTAGATAGTTGTCCAGCTCCGACGAACTGTGAATCCTCATATTAAGTTTCTCTCTCCTCTTATTCTTGAACTCAGAAGTAAACTTTCCACCCAAACCACGCTAACTCCTACTAGTGACAGTAACTCCGACATCAACCAAATCCCCCGTTCACTTCACCATACATTTCCTTCAAGACAAAAGACACATACCCTAATTTGTGCCTAGGATCTAGCACACATGCCATGTACATCATACATATATCTTTATATTCTCCTCAATTATCTGCCTTAAACCCATATTTTGCTACCTTTGCCAGAATTCTGAATGTCATTTGTTGCCTTTCTTCATCTGCATCCTTCTCCAATGTGCTTATCACCTCATAAATGTCCACAATGTAAGGGAAGAAGAGATGTGCAGTCACATATGACATTCCTAATAAAAAGAATTCAAGTAGAAATAATGTAAGAATACTTCATAGTTCATACTTTGTAGAATTGAAAAGAATAAATGGTAAACATACCAAATAAACTGCAAATGCATCGCAACCTATGATACCATGACACAACATCCTAGAGATCAACCAATTCCATTACGAATTCAAAAGGATCGTGCAAACCCTAGACACACAACCTCGCATTTTCCACCATTACCACATTCGATGCAATTTTACTCATCAACAACACTTGTCTCAACGTGTGAAATCGCACTTACAGCCTTCTGTCAAATGATCAGCAATGAGCTGACACCTCCAAGGCCAATCACAAACACACACAAGTGCTTTCATTTCAATACACAAAAATTGTCGTAGCAGCTCCTTCATCTACATGAAAGTTTGTCGAGCGAGATATTCCACGTATGCAAAAATTAAAAAAGTAAAACCATGTGCAATAGATCTTCAGATTCACCAGCCAATCAATAAAAGATTCCCCGTTCACTTATACTAAAAAGGTAAAATCACTTTTAAAAATGATAAAATTATATGCAGTAGATCTCTAGGCCACCGATAAATCGATCAAAAATTGCCTCACAAAAGTAGTAAGTTATCAAGCTCAAACATAGGGATGGCGGGTACCCTACCTTACCTAACTCGGTCAACGCGGGTAAAATCTATTTTGACGGGTTTCGGGCTGGATTCGGGTTTAAACCCGGTACACTCAATGTAGTCAAAATCGCGCTTTATAACTTAAAAAATTACGGGTTTACGCTTCTAAGTCACCAAAATGCTTTCGTTTCTATATAAAATCTTTAGTGCAACAATCGTACTAAATTGCGCTTTAAAACGTCTAGTTCACCAAAATGTTTTACGCTTTTAGTTCACTAAATGGGTATTCTTTTCATGAAATTAATTATAAAAGTATCTTTTGGAGGTAAATCACCAACAATATGAGACATTTGAGATTAAAAAAGTACATACCTGGTACTTGGATGCATTCTCATCTTCAATAGAGTTATCTAATTCACCAACTAGGCTCTTCCCAAATTCATTAGCATAGAGGGGAATGTGGTTTATTGTTAATATTTATGTTTGTGAACTTATTATTAAGATGCTATAAGTTGCTCTACTTTAGGCATGAATTGCAGGTAATATTAACTTATCTAAATTATGTGCACTCATATTTTACATAGTCTATGTCGTACTTAATAGATTTTTAGTTATTTTACAGTATGTGCGTAAAAACTTATGCTTTGATTCTACAGATTTACTATTTTACTCCTTTTCCGCTTCTAGGTAGAATCACGCTTTTGACTCCATTGAGTACACTGTTCATCAGGTTGGGTTAGGGTTTAGGGATACCCGACCCATGGATACCCGCCCATACTTATTCCGTCGCCCTACTCTCCCCAAATCCTACACTAATTATAATTTCTCCCAATCTAACTCTCCCCAAATCCTACGCTAATTTTATTTCTTACCAAGGTAATGTTTCCTTTTCCCAAAAGAAGTGGTAGGGATAAATCTACACAATAAATAAAAGCCAAATGGAAAAAATGCAGCCCCATTTCAAATTTCTTGAGTGGAAAGCGTTTGTAGGAGGGGTAGTTTGGAAAAGATGGTTTTTTGGTTCTTGCCTTTTCTGCGCAGGCGTACATGACGGATCGAATTATATATCGGCCTCTGTAAACCTCTCATCGTCGGTTGCCGATTAAGGGTAATGTTGTCCGTCCTTTGGCAGGGTGCCCTTCACCGTCCAATTAAGACATTAACCTGTGGATGTTCTTCCTTTTAGTACACCTCTAGAATTGTGTTTCCTGTAGCCGTCCTTCATTACCCGGTTCATTATATTTGCATCTAGGGTTAAACAAACTTCTTGCTGGTTCGATTCCGATAGTACAATATTCCCCACCACAATCCACTCAAGGTTTCATTAGATTAAAGTGTTTGAGTTGAAAGAATCATTGTGCGTAAGGTATCCTTCAGGACAGCGGGGTGGGAATTGAAGAAACCAACATTGTAGGCATATATTGAACTTCCTTAAAGTGCTGATTGTTTTGGGGTTTCATCAATTGATAGCTTATGTGAGATACCTATTCATCAAGGCTTCACAGAAGTCGTGGGTTTAATGGATTAGGTGGCGGGTTGACCTCAAAACGATGCACCATAGCTCCTTGATCTTGACTCAGTTCAGACTGTCCCTACTATTAACATTGAAGAATTGTCTCAACTCAGATCTGGCAACAAAGACCAGGTCAATACGCAACCCATATCCAAACTTAATCATTT